ACTTTCTTTAAACAATACAATGTCTCAAAGAAATGAAGAGCATGAAAGAATTGGACCTTCGAAACGAAAGGATTGTTCAACTTCTCTCTATAATTCCACATTAACAACTCAATCCAAACAGACAAGGAAACCTTACTTTTATGTAAGGAGATAAAGGTTTTTAATCCATCACAACCTCAACTACAACAAAATACCCTTGCATTATTTGATATTGGATCGCAACTCTCCTTCATCTCCAAAATTATCACGTCAATTAAAGTTAACCGAAACAGAAACTCAAATTATGAGAATAGCTCCATTTGGTATGAAAGAACCGAAATCATGTCCCACTGCTCGCATACAACTAAATGTGCTAACTACCGAAAGCGAAACCATACAACTACAAGCAAATATAATTGATTATCTAACAAACGAACTGCAGGTAGTGGAGACATCGAATGAATTTCAAATTCAAAATTTGACAAATTATTGGAAAACCTGACGTATTGATTGGAGCTGACTATTTTTTCAAATTTATTAACCTACGAGAAATTAGGAATTGAAATCAGACATATGTTGGTTCAATCAAAGTTGGTCCAATGATTGCTGGAAGTGGAGATATTAAGAAACTTTGCAAGAACGAATTATATCCTAAAGAAGTAGTATATTCTACAAACGTCAATATTAGCACGGAGCTAGAAAAATTTTGGAAATTAGAGACGATTGGTATCCAAGAATCACCTCAAGATGATGATGATGATGATGATCAAGCTTTAAAGCATTTCAAACGGACCATCATCAAGCAGGGTGGAAGATATCAGGTTTGTTGGCCATGGAAAGACTCCAAACAAAAATTAAGCAATAATTATGGATTATGTCTGGGACGATTGAAGAATTTGATCAACCGCCTACAACATAATTCAAATCTCCATTCATATCATCAAATACTTATGGATCAACTACACTCAGGTATAATTGAAGAAGTACCTCCAAAGGATGAGGTAGGCGTTATTCATTACTTACCACATCATGAAGTATTAACTCCCAGTAAATCAACAACTAAATTAAGAATAGTATATGATGCTTCAGCACATCACAAAGGTTTTAAAAGCTTAAATGAAGTACTATATCGAGGTCCAGTAATGTTACCGGATTTAGTTGGAGTAATATTACGTTTTCGGATGATGAAAATAGTAATAACCGCTGATATCGAAAAGGCATTTTTACAACTAGAACTACAAAATGAGGAAAGAAATTGTACACGTTTTCTTTGGTTGGATGATATTGATAAAGAACTAACCAATGAAAATATAAAATGTTACCGATTTAAGAGAGTTCCTTTTGGAATAATATCCTCACCTTTCTTGTTAGCAGCAACATTAAATTACCACCTAGAAAATCATGGTAGTGAATTGGCATGGGAGATAAGAAAGAACTATATGTAGACAACGTTATTATATCAGCAAATGGAACAGAAGAGGCCTTATATAAATATGAAAGAACGAAAGAAATTTTTGCTGAAGCATCGATGAACATAAGAGAATTTCTTTCAAATGACGAAGAATTTAATGAAAGAATAGCTGAATGCGACCTAAGCCAAACAAATCAGGAAAATTTTTCTTGGTCTTAAATGGAACCATGAACGAGATATTATCCGTGTGACACTGAAACCATGGATAGGAAAAGTTTAACAAAGAGGACTATCCTACAATTCATAGCCTCCCAATACGATCCATTGGGTCTTCTCGTTCCTATAATGATCAAACTTAAATTATTCATACAACACTTATGGAAAGAAAACATTCCATGGGATCAATCTTTAAACAAACAGGACGAACAACAGTGGATAAATCTCATCAAAGAATGGCCAACAAATATAATAGAGCTACCAAGATTTATAGTGGAAACTACAAGTAACAGAATTCCTATATTTACTGACGCTTCGAAAGTTGCCTATTCTGCAGCTATTTATATTCTCAATCATGGATATCAAAACACATATTCGAATTCATTTTGATTTATGCTAAATCTCGAATTGCTCCAATTAAAGGTATGTCAATTCCTAGACTTGAATTATTATCTGTACTAATTGAGTAAGAGCAGCTCAGTTCGTATTGAAACAATTAAATCTTGAAAATAATCAAGTTACTTTGTGGACGGATTCAAAATGTGTTCTTTACTGATACAGAATTATACAAAGCTGCTTCCCAGATTTATACAAAATCGTATCGAAGAAATAAGGAAATCTAACTTCGAATTAAATTACATACCAAGTGATCAAAATCCAGCAGATATAGCCACCAAAGGAGTATCACCACTTAAACTCCAAAATTGTAAACAATGGTGGAAAGGACCTCGATGGTTGGAACTCAAGAAATCTGAATGGCCAAAGTGCAAACTTCGTTATTCAGGAAACGATGAATTTGCAGAAGCAATTGCTTTGAATTTAACAAAGATGACTCAAACCTTTAAAAAAAATATAATTGAATTTATTGACGTATGTCGCTTCAGCAGTTGGACAAAACTAGTTCGAGTAACTGTTTGGACTTTTAGATTTATTAAACAAACCTGTAAAAAGAAATTAGTGTGGCTAGAACCATTATCCGTAAAAAAGAAATATATGACTAAAGTTGATTACGATATAGCAGAGACTATGCTGATCAGACAGGCCCAATCACGATTGCTAACGGAGGACGAAAAGGAATTCAATGAAATTGTTCTACCGATAGAAGAAGAATTTGAAAACGTGATAACACATTGGAAATTGATTTTTATCTGTATAATTATCGTGACAATATTAACTATTTTAGTCATTATTAAGTGTAAATTTAAATTAGTTCAATCCCTCCTTTGTAATACTTCAAAACGAAATTCAAATCAAGCTACCATTATTACTCTCCCTACAGAATCACCACACACTCAATTCATAACTAAAGAAGAAATCCCACCTATCAAACTCCGTACATTTAGCTATATACCTCAAAATCACTCTCTCAAAATTACATCTTAAAACAATTTCTCTCCCCCTTCGAGAGTGTCGCGAATTATAATTTCGCGAAAACTTCTAACCAATTTCATAGTATCATAAATCATCTCTCTTTTTAAATTGTAAACAATCCTACAGTATTCACACATGTATTTTTAATCTCTTCGTAGTAAACACTTTAAATTCTTTACACATGTGATTTTATCTTAGACACACCCAATCCTCACTCATATAAATTCAATCCTAATAAACAAAACCATTAATTATCATCATTGTCGACTATGCTCGTTTAACCAATATCAGTCCCTCCAATTTAGACACACCCAATTCTCACTCATATAAATCCAATTCTAATAAACAAAACTATAAATTATCATCATTGTCGACTACGCTCGTTTAACCAAAATCAACTCATCCAATCTTCTTCTTTATTATAAAATTTCGTCTCTTCTTTTACTGCTCTGTTTATTAATACTAAGTTTGCGAAAAATAAAGACTTATTAATCTAATCCTTCTACTGTATTGCAAACAATTCCAATATCAACCAACAGACAACCTTTCACGACAATTTCTGCTAGAAGATATGATATCTGTGAAAGAGATGGATATAAACGGCAGTATAAATTTAAGTCCTTTCAACAGCCTTGCAACAAAATGTAATTGTGAATTTTCCGTTGTATCAACTATCTTGGTTCAGCGGTCACAGATGTTCCATAGTACATTTCACAGGCACTCCATTTCAGACTCACATATGTGTTTAAAATTTTGTTAAATTTGCAAACTAACGAGATTTTGCTTGGCAGATGCTCTTATGATATTGCAGTGTATTCCTGGTGGCGAAGAATTTGCCACAATCCTTGCACTGAGGATTAGGCTCATGCGTCTGTTTGTGACTGCGAAATGATGGTCCATAGTTGAATGTTCGCCCACAACCGGGCACTTTGCATTCATAGATAAAAGGTTGACCATGTGTCTTCCTATGTGTTATATATATTCGTTCTCGAAAACGACTCATCTCATTCTGTCACTAATGCATTCATTGTTTCGCTGCAAAGATAGCACTTTTAAATTTAAACTTTGACTACGTGCATTATTGTACCAGTGCTGCTCTATGAAAAGTGATAAGTGATGCAGGATGATGTTATTCGAGCTTATCTGTGACATCATCAGCAGCACAGCAACAACGATTGCCAAATGCAATCGTACAATAATCAATCTTACATTCTAGTGGCATAAAAATGAAATTTACAATTAAATTATCATAATTCCGTATATTAGATAATATTACAAATTGCATTAAATGCATTACTGAACTCCTTCAATTCTAATTTTTTGTTTGCAACGATTTGAAGCGGTTTACTTTGAAGCGGTTTTATTTCTAGAGTAAATAAAAAGGATTTTCTGAAAATGAGTGAAAGATCAGAAACAGGTGATGATGAATTGCGCAACGACTTTTCGTTCTATCTCTTATAGTTCTTCAATTTCATTAATTGCAAAAACAAATATCTTAAAAGTTTTTTAGACAAACGAAGCTATGAATGCCTCTATCCTGGGTGTGCTGTGATCGCCGCGAAAAGTTACAACGAATATATATAACACATAGGAAGACACATGGTCAACCTTTCATCTATGAATGCAAAGTGCCCGGTTGTGGGCGAACATTCAACTATGGACCATCATTTCGCAGTCACAAACAGACGCATGAGCCTAATCCTCAGTGCAAAGATTGTGGCAAATTCTTCGCCACCAGGAATACACTGCAATATCATAAGAGCATCTGCCAAACAAAATCTCGTTAGTTTGCAAATTTAACAAAATTTTAAACACATATGTGAGTCTGAAATGGAGTGCCTGTGAAATGTACTATGGAACATCTGTGACCGCTGAACCAAGATAGTTGATACAACGGAAAATTCACAATTATATTTTGTTGCAAGGCTGTTGAAAGGACTTAAATTTATACTAACGTTTATATCCACCTCTTTTACAGATACCATATATTATTAGATTACTTAAAAACCGAGGCAAGTGGATTATGACTGACCTTGGTATTGGTTTTGCAGATGAAACTATGCCAGGTATTGAGCTATTAATTGCTGGTGTAAGTTTTATTGCTCAAGGGAAGGAAGATTTATTTGGAATAATAATTACGCATGCACATGAAACCATTACGATGCAGTGCCTTAACTGTGGAAAGAGTTACAATGTCCCAAGTATACAACAAAGTTCACGACTAATTTTCTCAAGGAAAACTGAAGGAATTTCTGCTAGAAGATATGATATCTGTGAAAGAGATGGATATAAACGGCAGTATAAATTTAAGTCCTTTCAACAGCCTTGCAACAAAATGTAATTGTGAATTTTCCGTTGTATCAACTATCTTGGTTCAACGGTCACGGATGTTCCATAGTACATTTCACAGGCACTCCATTTCAGACTCACATATGTGTTTAAAATTTTGTTAAATTTGCAAACTAACGAGATTTTGTTTGGCAGATGCTCTTATGATATTGCAGTGTATTCCTGGTGGCGAAGAATTTGCCACAATCTTTGCACTGAGGATTAGGCTCATGCGTCTGTTTGTGACTGCGAAATGATGGTCCATAGTTGAATGTTCGCCCACAACCGGGCACTTTGCATTCATAGAGAGGTTGACCATGTGTCTTCCTATGTGTTCTATATATTCGTTGTAACTTTTCGCGGCGATCACAGCACACCCAGGATAGAGGCATTCATAGCTTCGTTTGTCTAAAAAACTTTTAAGATATTTGTTTTTGCAATTAATGAAATTGAAGAACTATAAGAGATAGAACGAAAAGTCGTTGCGCAATTCATCATCACCTGTTTCTGATCTTTCACTCATTTTCAGAAAATCCTTTTTATTTACTCTAAAAATAAAACCGCTTCAAAGTAAACCGCTTCAAATCGTTGCAAACAAAAATTAGAATTGAAGGAGTTCAGTAATGCATTTTAATGCAATTTGTAATATTATCTAATATACGGAATTATGATAATTTAATTGTAAATTTCATTTTTATGCCACTAGAATGTAAGATTGATTATTGTACGATTGCATTTGGCAATCGTTGTTGCTGTGCTGCTGATGATGTCACAGATAAGCTCGAATAACATCATCCTGCATCACTTATCACTTTTCATAGAGCAGCACTGGTACAATAATGCACGTAGTCAAAGTTTAAATTTAAAAGTGCTATCTTTGCAGCGAAACAATGAATGCATTAGTGACAGAATGAGATGAGTCGTTTTCAAGAAATTACTTGACCGTTATAGATGCTTCAGGATCCTGGAAATCACGATGTGGCATTTATATAATATTAATGTTACAGATATCACAGATATGTCGATTAAATGATTGCAAATATTCAAAAGTAAAAGTGGAAGCTTCCAGAAGATCTTTATCATTGTTAGCAGGACGAATTGGTGCAATGAAGTTATTATCAAAATGATATTTGACGCAAGTGCGAAAGCAATGAGGAAGAGCTCAAGTGTGATTGAATGGGCTACACCATACAATTACAGCAGATCGATAGATTCAGTAAATAAGATAATATAAATCTATTTGTTTATGATGACTGATTAATTGACAAGAAAAAGAGGTGTACCAAAATTGATCTTAATTAATTGTAATTGCTATGGAAAAAAAAACAAATTTGTTCCAACTATCTCGTTGCATCTATCTAATATGCACTGTTTTGAGTAATTCAATAATCTTTCTTTATAAACAACAAATTGGAACAGAAGAAAATGAGAATGTAAAGACAAAAAATATGAATAATGCAAATTGGACAGATTGAAACTGTTTGATCTTTGGTCTTCAATTCCAACATATCTGAAATAAAAAGCTTTCATTTGAGCATTTCTGTCATTTCACAAAATTCTGTGTGGCCGTATTCTTTACTACATAATAACCAAATGATTTTTGACAAGAATTTTATCAGATAAGAGAAAAAAGTATATTTGTCATTACCCGGGTGTAATATGATGACGGTAAATTACAAAGAATATGTAATACGTAAGAAAACACACGGTCAGCCCTTCATCCATGAAAATCTATGAAGATCAGTCTCAGATTTCGATTCTTTACTGCTTATATCCTCAATTTTTTTTATTAGAACCGTTGCAAAGTACAAAATTGAACCAAATGATGGATATTATATATTTTGAGCATTTCTACCATTTCACAAAATTTCGTGCGACCGTATTCTTTACTACATAATAACCAAATGATTTTTGACAAGAACTTTTCAGATAAGAGAAAGTATATTTGTCATTAGTAAAGAATCAAAATCTGAGACTGATCTTCATAGATTTTCACAGATGAAAGGCTGACCGTGTGTTTTCTTACGTATTACATATTCTTTTTAATTTTCCGTCATCACATTACACTCGGGGTAATGACAAATATGCATTCTCTTATCTGAAAAATTCTTGTCAAAAATCATTTGGTTATTATGTAGTAAGGAATACGGCCACACAGAATTTTATGAAATGACAGAAATGCTCAAATGAAAGCTTTTTATCTCAGATATGTTGGAATTGAAGACCAAAGATCAAACAGTTTCAATCTGTCCAATTTGCATTATTCATATCTTTTATCTTTACATTCTCATTTTCTTCTGTTCCAATTGTTTGTTTATAAAGAAAGATTATCGAATCATTCAAAATGGCGTATATTAGATATTTGCATCATTAAAAGGTTGAGCAAAAAAACTCTTTTTCTTAGTTTTGCCAGTTTTTTCTACAAACAAATGATACAAGACGCATAATATGAAAATACAAGATTGAGATCTATCAGAGATTAAAAGGAGAGGAAAAGAGCAAATAAAGAAAGAGAAAGAGAGCAAGCAAAGCGGGTGATGAAGGGTAGCAGGCTACGCCTCATCACCACAGGAAACACATAGAAAAATACAGAGTAACTGGAGTAAGCGTCGCCCCGCCTGCATTTCTAGACCTATAATATCTGAAAGACTTCCTTATCCTACGCATCCCTACCCTCTGGAGTAAACGCCCGGACTACTGGACCCGCCCCTGCCTGTATCCCTCACACCCATCCACGCCCTATCAATCGCCTGTCGCCTTCTCTATCTTACGCATCCCTGCCCTCACATTTTTGTACTACGCGTTACTCTGCCTGCAATCCTAGACCCGCCCCGTCTGCATTCGTCTTCCCAACGGCCATCCGTCTCCCGTATTGCACTATCCCACGCATCCCTCCTCTCACATTTTTCAGCCCTATTTATTTCTCACAGACTTAGTACTAATTTGGCACAAATAAAAACATAGAAAGTAATAGAAAACATTACAACCACAAAAATATAGCAATAAAAGTATAGGAAACCATAAAACAAAAATCTAACAAAACATACTAACTGGCGGTCCGTTATTATGACATGAAACATATCTAAAACATCACAATTTAACTGTTAGTCCTACGTTTAGCTCTGCATTTAACTGCTAACCAATAAAAAACTTAAAACTTAATACAAAGATGGAAAATTGACTTACCTAGATGTTCGTTCCTTTCGAGAATTTGCTTGTTGATCTATTTGCCAATCGAAGGGGCAACCATCATGATGCCCAGTACAATAACATCGATATCGCCATGACGCCGAACAAGGTGAAACATCTCCAGCAACACTGAAAAAGTTATTAAGTTTTCGCCAACGAAACTTACAAATATATAAGATCAGTAAAAACCAAATCCCCAAGTTTGTGTACCAATATAACAAAAACAGAAAATCTCCACAAATTGTTCCACGAACCATCAATTCACTAATAAAAAATTGTAGAGAAGGTGGAACTGAATTTAAAATATATCAAAATTGGTGTTCAAGCACACATACCTTCATGCAGTTCCAACCAAATGAAAGCTCAATGTCCTTCTCTTCTTCCATTAGGCTTCTTGCAAATAATAGAGTGCTAGTTTATTACCTGATAACCTAACAGAAATTAATCTTGCTCCTACAAACCCACTTGAAAAATAGAAAGTAATAAAATAAATCTCCAACCGCTCGACAGGTCCGACTGCTGACGAATAACTAAATGATGAGGATGTGGCGATGTGTGCCTCCCTGTCTGCGTTGTGCGCACACATGGACAAAGGAAGTCCTGTGTTTTTTAGAAAAGACTAGGTAGACCTGAGAGAGTACAGTGGTAATCGATTGAGTGAATTGGGGCTCAGCGTTGAGGTGTGTATATGAGTGAGGAGGAGCGAACGGGTGGGCGCAGACATCTGAACAAACTGGTCCGTTCGCCTTCAGTGAGGGTAGGACGGAAAAAGGCATAAGGGGGCGGGCGCACACAGTGGCTAGGCAAACACACTTACTCGCCTTTATCACTACTATATATACATATGTATGTGTATAAAATGACTTAACCTGGAATAACGAAGACTAAGACCTTATATAACATTATGCTTAATGGAGTAAAAAGAAGTTTAAAAAGCCGTAAAATAATAATCCCAACAGGAAAGTCTAATTCATTATGATACGAATCATACCTAAAGCATTTCCATTTAACTGCTAATCCTATATTTAACTTCTAAGTACAAAACATAACTGAAAGTTTAATATAAAAATAACTAACTGATGTTCGTTCCTCTCGAGATCTTGCTTGATTTACTGCCAATAATATCCATATCGCCATTACGTCGAACACGTCCAGAAAACAGATGAAATATATCAAACAGCACTAAATAAGTTATTAAATTATCACAAACCAAGTTCGCAATAAATTTGACCAGCAATGCATCAAAAATACAAAATCACCACAAACTGTTCTGAGAAGCTAATAAAAAATCATAAAATAAGGTGAAACCGAATTTAAAATTTATCAGAACTCAAGTTTAAGCGCATACCTTTATGCAGTTCCAACAAAACGGAAGTTCGATGTCTTTCTACCTTCCATTCGGTTTTCTGTAAAAAGTTTAATAATTGATAATATAAGAAATGAAATTTTGCTCCTACAAACCAAATTGGAAAAAAATTAATAGAAAGCAATGAAATAAATGTCCGACCATTCGACAGCTTCGATTGCTCCACGAATGTGGCTATATATATGTGCACATCCCCATGTGCGCACATGGACAAAGAAGTCCTTTGTCCCAATAAGGTTAAGAGAGAAATGTGAATGAGGGCGCGGGTGAGCATTTTTAAAAGGACTATATAGACCCTAAGGGAGTATAGTGCCAATCAATTGGGTGAGTTGGGGTTGTGCATATGAGGAGCGAACGGGTGGGCAGAGACATCTAAAGAAACCGTACACCGTACAGTACAGGAACTCTGTTCGCTCTCAATGAGAGTAGGACCGAAAAGGGAAAGAGGGGGCAGGTGG